TTGAGCCCTGTGGATATGCTCACACACCTTGCTGCCTCTCCTATACAACTGTATGTCCAAACCAAGGAAGAGTTATTGAAGCCACAATATGGCCAGCAGAGCAACATCCTGCTGCCAGCCCCTATTGCATTAAGCCCTGGAGACACTGTTGAATGGACCTGGCCCCCTGGACATTTTGACACATGCACCAGCGATAGCCAGCCCTTCTGGCACCTTGAGAGAAAGGCCTGGAAGCTGGCCTCCTGTGTATTCCTGGAATAACAGCTGAATGGCCCCCAAAGGTCATGGTAGTGTACCCAAAATGTCCAGGAGATAAGAGCATCTTGCGGGGAAGTTTTGTTTTATCTTTATGGCCAGTGCATGTACCTCCCATAGCCCTATATATTGACCCATCTGTAACTCTCTCAGGGAGGGGGGTGAAAGTCTGGTGCACTAGACCAGGACGAGATCCCTTCCTGCCACTGTTTTATCACAAAACCACTCTCTTGCATGTATCCTACCTGATGGACAAGATTTGCCTATGTTGGTGTCATTAAAACATGTATCTTAGTGCCCTTAAGGTTATTTTCTCCTACAGTCCTTGTGGCCTGAATGCACCCCCTGGCTGCAGCTGGAGCATGATGATTGCTCTGAACCCTCAGCTACTGCCCATCTATGGAATGGATGAGCTATGGACTTAATCTGCATAAGACTTTGAACCTAGCCAAATCCTCCAGTTTGAGAACTGTCATAATTTTATTGCTGTTGCTATTGTTATGTCATTAATCTGATCACAATGCTCCAGTTTTTTCACCCAGGGACCATTGTAGAAGAAGGGGAATGAGTAGATTGTAAAGTGAGATTCCTGGAGGGGTGGCCTGTGGGTAAAATTGTAACATTTCCAGAATATCTCGCCTGGCTTTAGTGCATTTGCATATCCTCAGCGGTGGAGAGAAGTTCATCTCCCTATCAATGGGTAATTACCTGGGCAACCAAGGGCATGTATGAACCTGAGAGGTTAAGGGGCTTGCTAGCCTGCTGGCTTCCACAGCAGAGGAGAAAGACAGCCTGGGACTGCAGTTCCTGAGCAATAAATGGGTTTTAAAGCTTATTTCCCCCTTTAACTGATTTTGGAGATATTTTGTCCGAGGATTTCCTCTCCCTGGACTTACAGTGATGATGCACAAATACTTTAAACCGAACAAAAATGAAAACACACATAGCAAAACTTATACAGCTAACACAATGTTTAAATGGAAACAACACCAAGTGACTACATCGCAAAAGAAGGATCTCAAATAAATGGCTTCAGATTTCATTTTTAAGAAGCTAGAAAAAGAAGAGCAAATTAAAACCAAGTATGTAAAGTGTAGGTAGTGTGCTATATGACAGGCAAGTTTTTTGCTAATGCCATGAGGGTCTCTGGCCCAATGAGAGTTTGACAGTAATCCTTGCTACAAATACAATTTTAAAGTATGAGAGCTTTAGGGAGATAAAAACATTTAAAAAATGAAAAAAAGAGGTAGAAGAAAGGAATAAAGATATAAAAGCAGCAATCAATGAAACAAACAGAAAAAAAGACAAAAAAAAGTAAGACAAAACAAACAAATCAAAAGCTGTTTTCTTAAGCTAAAATTATAGATCTCTAGCTAGACGGCTAAGGAAAAAAAAAGAGATTACCAATATCAAGAATAAGGTATGACATAGAGGTATTAAAAGGATAATAACAGAACATTACACACAACTTTATTCCAGGAAATTCACTGATTTAGATGAAATGGACATATTCCTCAAGAATATGAGGAAATTATGACCACACTACCAATGCTCATTCAAGAAGACACAGAGTATAAATAGCCCTACAGCTATTAATGATACTAAGTTTGTAGTTAAAAATCTTGCCTCAAAGGTAACTCCAACAAGATTTGAGATCTCACTTAAAAAAATTCTAAAGAGAGGGAAATAGGTCTACCATATAGTTAGCTATTTACTGCATAAACCAAGGGGTGAGAACGCACAAATACGAGCCTTCTTTCTTAAAAAAAAGAAAGGAGGAGGGGTGAAAAGGAGATCAAGGTCAAATTTTTTAAATACTTTATTAAACTTTATCTCTTCCTCATCTCATAAAAACAAACTTTTACTTCAATAGGCAATTAAGATAAATACCACAAAGGGAGGTTTCCTTTGAGAATTTACTGTTCCTAGGTAACTACTTTTGCCAATCATCACTAGATTCTTTTTTCCCTGGCACTGCCAGAGAGGAAGTGGAAATGACTGGTTTAGGAATCATCTCTAATGAAATTAAATGTACATTTAGGGATGTTTCTTGGCAAATAGGAAGCCTACTAGGGATACTTTCTTTAAAAAAAGACCATACTTTAAGAATGTACTAATATAGTAACTATACTAAAAGTAATTTTTGTTTCCTCCAGTATAAATTGCTTGGTAGAGGGTACTTTTGAGTTCCTAGTCTTTTATCCTATTTAGCAAGCAGGAACTTCTTGCCCTTCTTTGCTATGTTTTTACAAGCAGAAGCCAAAAATCTTCACAGTGTTTACTTCCTTATTTGTCCAACAAATCATCATCAATGAAGTCAGCAGCAAAGTGAACAACCCTGCAAGGAATGTTTATTAGCTAAACACAGTTCCAAGCCAGCTGAAGAGTACAAAAAATATGACTTGACTCTAAGTATCCAGAAGAGAGTTACTACCAATTTTTCCTAAACTTGGTTCCTTCTGAAAGCATGAAGAATAGGTTAGATCTTTGTAGTACTGAGATGCACTTGATTTTAACATCTTCTTAAATGAATGTATAGCTAAAGAGTCAGTTACACAACTGTTTTTAGCCTAACAGCTACATAAAGTTGCCAGTGGTTTTTATTGTTACTATGGTTTACTGTAACAAATGCTAAATGCTTTAAAGAAAAATATTTGAAACAAAAAACTCATAAAATTATTGCCTTCATCTTTGTAATGTAAAAAAATACAGAATTCATTCTTAGAAATGGCATATATATATACAGACATACACATATGTATATACATATATATATGTGTGTACTTTGGTGGCATTATAATGGTTTGGAAGAAATTAATTATCATATATATTCTATTTTGTTTATACTCCAAAGCATAATTTCTAACATAGTAATTATTTGCCAGTATCATCACCAATTAAATAAGCAGTAATAACGTACAAAGCTGAAAGGCAGTTCTGTTATTATAAAGCAATGAAGCTAAAAGCAATTCATTTTAAGCTAACTTTAATTTATAAACTCAAAGAAGGCAATACTGGTGTTGTTTTCTTCAGTTATAAAATATTCAAAGACCAGAATAGGTGCTTGTGGTACAAAAGATATTGTGGAACCAATATCTGATAAATGAGTACCTAATAACAATGGATGATAACAGCAATGATTAAAATATATAAAAGCAGAACACTGTTTCTTTCTGTTAAAAAATTGACCAGATTTCATTTCACCAACTTTATACTGAACAGTAAGCTGTTTTTACTCACAATGCTTCTGACACCAAATGTCTTTTTTGCTTACACCAACCATTTCTCTGATTCTCTGACACCAACTGGATGTCCAAAAATTCAATTTAATACTGACACTATCTATTTGGAGTTAGCATCAGACCCCACAAGTTAACCCCACAAGTTAAAGGTTCAGTTCCACAAGACTATCCCCATTTCATATGCCAATTTGCAAATCCTAGGCCATCTGTACTTCTGACTCACTGGATGGATATAAACTGGGGGTTCCCACCACCTCCCTCAGGTTTGATAATTCACTAGAGTGAATTCAGGGAAGTGCTTTACTTCTGATTACCAGTTTATTATAATGGACACAACTCAGGAACAGCCAAATGGAAGAAAGGCATAGGGCAAAGTACTGGGGGCAGGTGTGCACATGTGTGCGTGTGTTTGAGCTTCAATGCTCCCTCAGACACATCACCCTTCCAACACCCTGATGTGTTCACCACATGGAAGTCCTCTGTACTCCACTGTTCAGGGTTTCAAAAAAAACATTGGCCATCATTGACTGAACTCAATCTCTGATGCCTCTCCGTTCCCCAGAGGTTGGGGGTGGGGCTGAAACTTCCAGCTCTCTAGTTACATGGTTTGGTCTTTCTGGAGATCCGAAGCTATACAGAGACTCCAGCCAACAGTCATCTCAACATACAAAGAACACTTTTACCCCTCTATAAATTCCAAGGGTTTTAGGAGCCATGTGCCAGAAATAGGACAAAGACCAAAGATTAATTTTTTTTGTACCACAAGCACCTATTCTGGTCTTTGTCCCCATTAAAGTTGCTGTGGAAGATTTTTTGTTTTAAAGGATGCCATTCTATAAAACAACAGAAGAGAACCTTTTTTAAAATAACAAAATAGACTAGTGGAAGTATTCAAATGTATGACATTCTCCAGAACAACTGTCTTGGGAGATTGTATTATGTTCTAATGTTACTTTTTTCAAGACCAGATTATAGGCCACCCAAGAATATTAGCAATTATGTAGCATTCACATCACACAGAAGATGTTTCCAAACCAAATCTCAGCCATTATAACTATCTACTAATTATTTTTTTTGGCTTATCCAACCATTTCTCCTCCCCAAATCATATTAAGAAGTGACAATTTGCTATCAACAAAAATCCATATAGAAATAGGCCATTAATTGTGAAAATAACATCAAAAGCCCTTTTCTAACATGGTTTAGAGCTAGTCAATATTAGCATTCCTAATGCATGGTTTCCCAAGGTAACAACTTACATTTAGACAGGTGAGTCCAAGTATGTTTCTTTTTTGTTTTTCAAGTCTCGCTACCTTATGGACCTATCTTACATAAAAGAAGTCCCTATAGTTTTTACAGAATAAAAGGACAGTGGGGAGGAGAAAAAAAGGAAACCAATGACTGACATAAGCCTATATTCTTTAAAAAAAAAAAAAACTGTCTCTTATATAATACTTGAAATCATCCTAATAGCCAATTTAAGTTTATATGTTTATAACATACCATTTACAGCTTTTTCAATCAATTCTTCACAAGCATCAAAATCACCCTTTAACACCAGTTTATCATGCAGATCTGTTAACATGGGATGTTCCAGGGCAATCTTAGTTTTCTTTTGCAGTGATTCAAAGGCCTCTGTATAGTTGTGCTGCCTGAAGTGTTTTAGGCAAAGGCGAATGGCTTCCTGTTCACGGTACTACTGGAACACAAGAGATAGTAGGAAAAGAAGACAAATGCTTAGTTATTACTGAAGGGAATAATAAGTGACAGTGTAAAATAAAGTGAGCATTTACTATGTGGTAGGCATTTTACTAACTCTATTCATTAGTTATCATTATTGTTTTCACTTTTAAATGGCAAAATTGAAGCTTAGTCAATTGTAATAACTTGCCAAAGGCCACAAATATGTAGCAGAAAGATATGAAAGTGATGAAGACATAAATATATGTACAGGCATATATTCCATGAAAATGAAAGATATAAAAAGACAAAACCAGACCTAATTCTAGAACTTTCAAGAGAAGTCGAATAACTGTTTACCAAAGCTCACTTAAGATTGTAAATATTAAAACTTCCACAGCTTTTACTAATCAGATTATAATGTTGGTACTGAAAGCACAGAAACCATTAAATAAGAAACATAAACTATATTATGCTTTTTGTTCTTGGTTATCAGTACCAAGTTATTAAATGACAAATGTGGTCAAATGTTTATGTATTTTAAATTCACAAACAGGTTTTATGACTCAAAATCATCAGAAAGACCATTTAAACTTTATGATTTTTTTCTAAACTTGGGCTACCTTAACAACTATAAAGTAAAAATCTAAATGAATTATAATCCAAAAAGACATGTTCAATTTACTAAATCTGTCCCCAGTAAGATGGCAAAAGTACCAGCTCATCTAAGGAATTCTTTTTAAAAACTTTAACTTCAAAAATATGAGATCTCTACAAATTTCCTAAATAAGAATTAACAAAATAAACTGATGACACAGAAACAAAACACGATAACCAAACAAAAATATGATTTACTTATAAGCATTATCCTTTAGTAAGGCAAGAAAATAAAATACTACCTCTTAGGAAGATTTGTAAGACTTGAAACACAAATCAGTTAATATTTGCCTGATTTTATTAATAAAATGTTATCAAAATACTTTTCTTTAAGCACTATAGTTAACCAACTTTTTTCCTCTTCAAATATCTAGATCCAAACTAACTTTACATTATTAGTTTCTTACCCAAGATTGATCATTGCTATCTAGAAGCAAATTCAATAGTAATACCTTTTTATCATGTTGACTTATTTAAGAGTCTGAATTACACCCACATTTAAAATCTTCCTTTAGGCTACATATAGATATACAGTAGAAGAGGATTTATGATATAACAATTTTAATGCTTTCAAAAAGGCTTAAAACTGAAAAAAGGTGAAGAGTTATCTAATTTCTAAAGTTTCATAATAAATACACATAACTTAAAATGTGAACAAGGCTAAACAACTTTCTCAAATATAATGTCTCCACAATGTTGGGGAAATAAGTGATACTTGCATCTTCCTACAGTAACAAGATACCTGTGTGAGTATATTAAAGGAAACATACACATCATAGGCTAAAGGGAAAAATTTGCTTAAGTATCAGAGAAGCTTAATCACTAATTTTTTTTAGAAGAACCAACTGAATTTAGAAAATTTTTAAGTACATAACATTAATGTGCATAAATGTGTAAATGCATTATGTGTGTAACACCATAAGGGTGATTCTTAATGTCTCAAAGTATTGGCTCTACCTTGAAAGAACATTCAGTATTACAAGAAATCTAAGAATACGTGAAAAATACAGAAAATATTAAAGTCAGCATTTATTTTAAATTGAATATAATCAAATACCAAAATAAATTAGTCAAACATAAAATTCCTCAATTAAGCTGACCAGCAAAGAGCTGACACTCCAAACAAAAAACCTAGTAAGAATCTATATTGCTTCCCAGTCTCTTATGAGTACATCAGTTCCCCTCTACTTGCAAATGAAGCTATCAGAAAGTGGTAATTAGACTAAGCTTTATCAACTTCCTGCTAAGAAAGAAAGTCCCCCCAGCAAAAAAATTAGCCAGAATAGTCAAATGAATATACATCAAAAACAAAAATGAAGCATAAAAGGTGCTCAAAAAATAAATAAATAAACAAAAAAGACCTATTTATCAGTAATTTATGCTCATTTTTTTCAGGCCGTATTGATTATATAAACTGAGCTTTAAATAAAATTATTAAACATCATATTTATTACTTCCTACATGCACAAGATTACATCTTTAGATACTATTTCAAATTCTTTAAAAGGTAAAGTACGTATTTCTATTTTACTAAACACACACACAATAGAGGAACATATTATAAAAGTAATTTAGAACCAAAACTATCCAACTAAAAAGTTGTGTTTAAGTATTTCTATAAATACAGTTTAAAAACAAAATTCAAGACCAGATGAGTATAATACTACAATGGCAGACTCTGCAGCCAGACAGCCTGAGTTTATATACTGGCTCAAGCACTCTACAACTGTGTGGCCTTAAGCAAAATACTTATTAACCTCTCTGTGCTCCATTTCTGCATCTGTAAAATATGGATAAAAACTGTACCTATCTCACAGAGAGGTAATGCATGAAAAGTTATAAAGCTTGCTTAGCAGCTGGCACAGTGTAAATACTTAATAAATGTTAGCTAATCATTATAATTATTAATACTAGTCTCCATATTTTTAATTATTCTCTATGAAAACAAGATTGACACAATTCTCCCTTAACAGGCATTAGAAACATAAAATCATGATTTTAAAATACAGTCCTACCTTGCTATACCAGTTGAGACAGGGCTGTACTACATCAGGATCATCAATGCCACTAAGTTCAACATACCAGATGCTAAAATTAAAGCTGGGTCCCCAGGATAAGAGTGGAACTTTGGAGAGAAACAAAACAAAACACAAAAAAAGAAAGAAAAAGAAAAGAAATTAACATTGTTTAAACAAAACTTTATCAAAGTAAAAATCACTATTCAAGCTTATTAGGATTCATTTAACAAATTTTATGAATACTTTCTATATGTGTACAGTTAAGTGGTGGAGCTACAGCAGCAAGAACAAAAACAAAAACAACACCCCAAACAAAACAAAACTAAAACCCAAAAAAACCATGATCCATGCCATCATGAGGTTTATTTAATTATAAAAACACTATAAAATAAAATCCAAAGTGATCATTTATATATCCCCTAAAGAATAGGACCAGAGATAAATGATTTAGCAGCCAAATTTTACCAAACCCACAAGAAACAATCACTGTATAATTTGAACTGCATTAGGGGACAGAAAGAGACTGGAAGTTCAATTACTTATCAAAGTGGCATAACCCTGGAAACAATACCAGACAAGAAAGGATTTAAGGCCAATCTCAGCTGTGAATGTATATTCAAAATTTTAAAAAAAAAGGTACAAAAAAATTCTACCAGGTTTTCATTGAGAGAAAAGGAAGGTAAATCACTGGAGCAAATGAGTATATCCAAAAATCTCTTAAGGATTCAGAGGAATGAAACACAGGATGAAGACAGTATTTCACAGCAGTAATAACAGAACAGAACAGGTTTTTAATGTGTCATCCACGGGCTCCCAGGGATCCTCACAAAAGGGGTTCTAGTTTCAGGATGTCTCAAGTGGTCAAAGCTCTTTTATAATAAGACTAGGACTTTATCAGATTTTCCTTCTTTCTTTTTCTACTATACTGACATTTCGACATTTCCACTCATATTGCACTGGCAATAGTGAGTAAAACTCACTATTTGGAAATGCCTCAAAAAGAGGTAGCACAAAAGTATATTAATATTCCTTAATATAACACAAACTGCACTGTATTCCTCTTCATCATACACTTGCAATTCAGAAAAAAAAAATTCATTCAAGAATGTCCCTGAAAATACAGTAAAAATTAATTTTAATAAATCCCTGAGTACACATCTTTTTAATATTCTGTGTGACACAACAGGAAGTACACATAAAGCACTTTTGCTGCTGCATTTTTTTAAAGCATGACCACTCAAGGCAAAGGACCTGTACAACTGTTTGAGCTGTGAGCTGAAATAACCACCCCTTCACTGTGCTCCCCCACAGGATACCACTTTTTCTAAGAAGAAAAACTGACAGACTATTGAAGATTATTTAGATTTGAGTATTTGCCAAACATTTACCTGTCATTTTGAGAAAAACAACTGACAGTATTGGCTGCCTAGGATAAAATTCAAGCTATCAAGGGAATATTAGAATTTTGGAAAAGTGAGCTTAACTACTTCCCAATACTTCAGACTTTTCTGATGAGACTGGTGCTGACATATTAAGAAGTGTGATTTTAAAAATATTACATAATGAAATGTTTCAACATTTT